TCTCTGTGATCACGGAGTAATGGCGCCCTGTTGTGAGGGAGTCTCTGTGATCACGGAGTAATGGCGTCCCTGTTGTGAGGGAGTCTCTGCCTGGCTGTCCGCCTGGGCTGCCAGACGACTCCTACCTCCAGTAGCCTCTGTTTAACGCAACAGTAAAATGTGTACTTGGATGAAAAGACGATTCTTCGCGGCGGGGATCGTATTCCAGGGACCTGCCCGAAACGCTACGCGTACTAGTGGCTCTACAAGAATGTAACAACTCTTGTATATGTCTCAAAAAAAGAGCGCAGTAGAATCTTTCGTATTATTTATTTACTCGGAACATTGAGCTCCCTTTATGCATGAATTTGAATTAACAAGATGGATTCAGTTGGTTCTCTAAGATTGGTTAATTTGTTTTACCTGTTTATGCTTTGTTACAAATGATTTGAGATAATTTCAATCTCCCAATTGTGTCTTGAGGTGAATGGCCGCTCATTTACAATGCTAACCAGCATATATTCATATTCTTCTGTCCTCCATGGACAGGGTTAGAGATCTGTCAAACATATAGTTCAGTGATTTATTGAACAATCAACCACAGAAGGTGATTGTAGAGCTTTTAAAATGCTAATCTAACCTATATACATAAAAATACAGATTTTCGTCTGTCCTACAAAAACAGTGTTCGAGGTGTTCTTTTACATAGTGTCATTAATGTGCGCTTACAAAGGTGAAGTGCAGTTCTGACCAGCTTCCACCTGTGGCCGACCTCCAGAGACGCATTCATGAACGTTAACTCATTGTGTATTCAACATGGTATTGTCTCATATATAGATTAATAATATATATTAGAAATTGGTGTATAGTTCGACATAGGTTAGGTTAGGTATTTAGTTACTGTTAGCAATTAGTTATATTTGTAGTATTTGGGTGAAACATTTACGTCAACCCGTCCTCAGGCTATATCCATTTCATCCAGCGGCCGACCACAAAGACACATTGATCAATTTTAACATGATGTATATTGAAAATCAAAATTTTCTGAAATATAAATTCCTATTGTTATATATTAGCATTTTGTGCTGATTAGAGGTAAGTTAAGTTAGCTGTTTAGCTGGCAATTATTTGTATTTGAAGAACATTTAGGGAATTACGATTCGAACAGACGCTATCACTGAAACATTGTACGAACAAGAAATGTTCGAACGTCCTCAGTTGTGAGTCCTGTGTAAATCCTTTTTTCATTCATAAACGGGGTGGTTTGGCGGCTGGATTAACGAACCTCTGGCCTTCGTTGATGAAATACAGGTTGTTGAGAGATACGTGTCCGATACGGAAATGTGAGAGATGGGGACTTTTTTGGGACAAAAGAAGAGCGGTTGAGTGAGTTAGTACATGAGTGCTGAGCTGGTGAGGTTCACTTACTTTTGCGATCGTACCAACTCTGTACTGTTGGTATTTCTGTCCTTATAATTGAGTTTATCCAGCTAAAAGATTTTGTCACTGTACAATTCCTCTATTTGTTTCCTGTCTGTGTCTTTGCCTCATCTTGATTAGTTTATTAATTCATCTTCGGCTTGTAAAGTTCGTAATATTTACGAACACCAGGAAGTAAAAAGGAATATTTTAAAAGGATTTATGTTTTCTAACTTTATTTGCTTTAACCTATGATACCAGGTCCGATAATGGTGTGTGGTTGTGTAGGGCGCCTGGTGTGTTTGTGTGTGTGGTCGCCTGGTGTGTGTGTGTGTGGTCACCTGGTGTGTGTGTGTGTGTGGTTGTGTGGTCACCTGGTGTGTGTGTGTGTGTGGTTGTGTGGTCACCTGGTGTGTGTGTGTGTGTGTGGTTGTGTGGTCACCTGGTGTGTGTGTGTGTGTGGACACCTGGTGTGTGTGTGTGTGTGTGGTTGTGTGGTCACCTGGTGTGTGTGTGTGTGTGGACACCTGGTGTGTGTGTGTGGTCGCCTGGTGTGTGTGTGTGGACACCTTGTGTGTGTGTGTGTGTGTGGTTGTGTGGTCACGTGGTGCGTGTGTCTGTGTGGTCACCTGGTGTGTGTGTGTGGTTGTGTGGTCACCTGGTGTGTGTGTGTGTGTGGACACCTGGTGTGTGTGTGTGTGTGTGTGGTTGTGTGGTTGTGTGGTCGCCTGGTGTGTGTGTGTGTGTGTGTGTGTGTGTGTGTGTGTGTGTGTGTGTGTGTGTGTGTGTGTGTGTGTGTGTGTGTGTGTGTGTGTGTGGACACCTGGGGTGTGTGTGTGTGTGTGGTTGTGTGGACACCTGGTGTGTGTGTGTGTATGTGTGTGTGGTCACCTAGTGTGTGTGTGTGTGTGTGCGTGTGTTTACTAGTTGTGTTTTTGCGGGGGTTGAGCTTTGCTCTTTCGGCCCGCCTCTCAACTGTCAATCAACTGTTTACTAACTACTTTTTTTTTTTTTTTTTTTTTTTTTTCACACCACACACACACACACCAGGAAGCAGCCCGTGACAGCTGACTAACTCCCAGGTACCTATTTACTGCTAGGTAACAGGGGCACTTAGGGTGAAAGAAACTTTGCCCATTTGTTTCTGCCTCGTGCGGGAATCGAACCCGCGCCACAGAATTACGAGTCCTGCGCGCTATCCACCAGGCTACGAGGCCCCCTTTGTGTGTGTGTGTGTGTGTGGACACCTGGGGTGTGTGTGGACACCAGGGGGGGTGTGTGTGTGTTGTTGTATGGTCACCTGGTGTGTGTGTGTGTGTGTGTGTGTGTGTGTGTGTGTGTGTGTGTGTGTGGTCGCCTGGTGTGTGTGTGTGTGTGTGTGGTCGCCTGGTGTGTGTGTGTGTGTGTGTGTGTGTGGTCGCCTGGTGTGTGTGTGTGTGTGTGTGTGTGTGTGTGTGTGGACACCTGGGGTGTGTGTGGACACCAGGGGGGGTGTGTGTGTGTTGTTGTATGGTCACCTGGTGTGTGTGTGTGTGTGTGGACACCTGGTGTGTGTGTGTGTGGTTGTGTGGTCGCCTGGTGTGTGTGTGTGTGGACACCTGGTGTATGTGTGTGTGTGTGTGGTTGTGTGGTCACCTGGTGTGTGTGTGTGTGTGGTTGTGTGGTCACCTGGTGTGTGTGTGTGTGTGTGGTTGTGTGGTCACCTGGTGTGTGTGTGTACACCTGGTGTGTGTGTGTGTGTGTGGTCGCCTGGTGTGTGTGTGTGTGTGTGGACACCTGGGGTGTGTGTGTGTGTGTGGTTGTGTGGACACCTGGTGTGTGTGTGTATGTGTGTGTGGTCACCTGGTACTCACCTAGTTGTTGTGTTTGCGGGGGTTGAGCTCTGGCTCTTTGGTCCCGCCTCTCAACCGTCAATCAACAGGTGTACAGATTCCTGAGCCTATCGGGCTCTATCATATCTACACTTGAAACTGTGTATGGAGTCAGCCTCCACCACATCACTTCCTAATGCATTCCATTTGTCAACCACTCTGACACTAAAAAAGTTCTTTCTAATATCTCTGTGGCTCATTTGGGCACTCAGTTTCCACCTGTGTCCCCTTGTGCGTGTTCCCCTTGTGTTAAATAGACTGTCTTTATCTACCCTATCAATCCCCTTCAGAATCTTGAATGTGGTGATCATGTCCCCCCTAACTCTTCTGTCTTCCAGCGAAGTGAGGTTTAATTCCCGTAGTCTCTCCTCGTAGCTCATACCTCTCAGCTCGGGTACTAGTCTGGTGGCAAACCTTTGAACCTTTTCCAGTTTAGTCTTATTAGTAGGTGTGTGTGTGTGTGTGTGTGTGTGTGTGTGTGTGTGTGTGTGTGTGTGTGTGTGTGTGTGTGTGTGTGTGTGTGTGTGGACACCAGGTGTGTGTGTGTGTGTGGTTGTGTGGTCGCCTGGTGTGTGTGTGTGTGTGTGTGTGTGTGTGTGGACACCAGGGGTGTGTGTGTGTGTGTGTGTGTGGACACCAGGGGTGTGTGTGTGTGTGTGTGTGTGGACACCAGGGGTGTGTGTGTGTGTGTGTGTGGTTGTGTGGTCGCCTGGTGTGTGTGTGTGGTTGTGTGGTCGCCTGGTGTGTGTGTGTGTGTGTGGTTGTGTGGACACCTGGTGTGTGTGTGTGTTTGGACACCTGGTGTGTGTGTGTGTGTGTGTGTGGTTGTGTGGACACCTGGTGTGTGTGTGTGTGTGTGTGTGTGTGTGTGTGTGTGTGTGTGTGTGTGTGTGTGTGTGTGTGGTTGCGTGGACACCTGGTGTTTGTATGTGTGTGTTGTGTGGTCATCTGGTGTGTGTGTGTGTGTGTGTGTGTGTGTTGTGTGGACACCTGGTGTGTGTGTGTATGGTCACCTGGTGTGTACTCACCTAGTTGTGTTTGCGGGGGTTGAGCTCTGGCTCTTTGGTCCCGCCTCTCAACCGCCTCTCAACAACTGTGTGTGTGTATGTGTGTGTGGTCACCTGGTGTGTGTGTGTGTTGTGTGGTCACCTGGTGTGTGTGTGTGTGTGTGTGTGCGTGGTCACCTGGTGTGTGTGTGCGTGTGTGCGTGGTCACCTTGTGTGTGTGTGTGTGTGTGTGTGTGTGTGTGTGTGTGTGTGTGTGTGTGTGTGTGTGTGTGTGTGTGTGGTGTGTGTGTGTGTGTGCGTGGTCACCTGGTGTGTGTGTGTGTTTGTGTGCGTGGTCACCTGGTGTGTGTGTGTGCGTGGTTACCTGGTGTGTGTGTGTGTGTGTGTGTGTGCGTGGTCACCTGGTGTGTGTGTGTGCGTGGTTACCTGGTGTGTGTGTGTGCGTGGTTACCTGGTGTGTGTGTGTGTGTGTGTGTGTGTGTGTGTGTGTGTGTGTGTGTGTGTGTGTGTGTGTGTGTGTGTGTGTGTGTGTGTGTGTGTGTGTGTGTGTGTGTGTGTGTGTGTGGTTGTATGTGATGCTGATTATAACAAATACCTGGCGGTTATAATTAATAACTAATGTTATAACATACAATAACCTTAGACACTGTGGATAATCAAATAGAACACTGCTTCACGCACATCTATTTACATACAATGCCGTACAAAAAACATATTTCCTCTTTAAACTTTAAACAAATTACATAGACGCCAAGACCTGCGTGGCAACTTGAACAAAAGAAATAACAAATACAATTGAATGCATAAAAGAATATTTTGCAATACAAAGGCAAACAACACACTAAGTTCATCTTCGGGAGATGCAATCATTTTCATCTGGATTTTCTTCACGACGCCAAAACTAGCAAGGAAAATGATACATTCCACAGGAGGACAAAGATGAAGCAAGAGGTCGTGCTGAAGTGCGGCCACCTGGCTAGGGGTAGTAGCCGCCTCCTTGACCGGACGACCCGCTGCCGCCGCTGCCTCCGGAGCCGCCATACTGGGCCTGACCTTCGTAGGTGACGACGGGGTGGTAGCCGGAGTCGTCGGCTGTGTACTCCACCTGCTGGAGGCGAGAGTCCGGCAGCCTCACGTAGTACCTGAGGGAGGAACGAGGAAGCAGGTGTCAAGATGAAAATAGTGCAAAAAAATGTAAATAATTTCATCAGACTGATTTTGATGTCACTCGGTAATGTAATGGTCAAGCTGTAACCAGAAGCGGCGGAAAACTAGGACGTATTAAGTATTGTATATAAATTGCAATATCAAAACAATAATATGTAATTTATTTCCACACGTAGGGTACAAAAGCCTGAGTCTTTAGCTCTTCCCTAACAAGATAAGCGTCCGATGGTGCTGACAAGACACATTTCCCATTCAGGCATGTATTAACAAACTTTGTAACTGTAACTTAGCTAGACGAATCCCGGGGATAAGTTCCTCCACCCACTGTGTGTAACTTATTGCGCCACCACTCACAGGATGGTAATAGTAACTAAAAACTCTATAAGCCTCGACGTCAACTCACTTGCCCTGGACGACGCCGTTGTTGGCTTCTTCTCCGTGACCGAAGTAGTTGCCAGACTGCGCATCATCGACGTCCCACTGGAAGTTGTAGTTGGCGGGGGCGGAGGCGTACTGGCCGCCAGAGCCGCCGGAGCCGCCGGAGCCGCCAGACCCACCAATCCCTGGGACGCCGTAGCCCTGAGGGGCCGCCCGTACAGCCATGACCGCCGCCACGGAGAGCACCACAGCCACTGACTGCTGGGGAAGAGGACGAGGCGTTGAGACACAATAACTTTAACATATATATGAGAACAGAGGTTTAAAAGACTCGGACAAAATAGCAATATATAAAACAGTAAAGCATATATACATATTTAACGATACACATGTTACAAAACAACGTATGTAAACTTGAAGCGAGGCACCTTCATGGTTAAGGAGAGAGTTGGGAGACTTCAGCTGGAGGAGTCACGAGGTGAACTGCTGACCAGACCCCCGCGGCCGCCTTATATACCCCCTGGAGCTGTCAGTACTGCAGTAGCTGTCACGCCATGACGTGGGAGGTGCGTGACGACACCGTCACCTCACCATCCTTAAGGTGGTGTTTACCGGAGTGAGAGTCTGACCAAGACACGAGACACTTTCCTTCACTCACGATGAGGAAAGAAACAGCTCTTCAGTGAAAAACCGGAGGATTAATATTTACGGGGAGATATCTATAACACACACCCTAAATACGTAAGATTGCGTGTTCCCTTAACAAAAAGAGAAGGACTTTACATGACATAGAAGTTAACATAGTGTCATGACACATAATGTGATGCCTATAATTCTATAATATATAGTTAAGTTAGTTAAGTTAATATATAGTTAAGTTAATTATATATAGTTAGTTAATATATAGTTAATTATATATAGTTAGTTAATATATAGTTAAGGTAGTTATAGTTAGCCTATAATAGTTAAGTATTTAACAGACGTTAAATACGTAATGTTAATAGATAATAAGTATTTAACAGACGTTCGGGTTAAAGAGCAGGTAATACAAAACAGTACCTCTAACATATTACAGACAGCCAGCTCATATAATTGAGCAGCCATTCCGATAGATACGACTAACACAAACACCACATTTGCAGTGCCAGGTAGAGTAGACCAGACCACACACTAGAAGGTGAAGGGACGACGACGTTTCGGTCCGTCCTGGACCATTCTCAAGTCTATGTGACAATCGACTTGAGAATGGTCCCGGACGGACCGAAACGTCGTCGTCCCTTCACCTTCTAGTGTGTGGTCTGGTCAACATAATTTAGCCACGTTATTGTGACTCATCGCCTGCAGGTAGAGTAGCTTACTAGTGTTTCCGAGACATTATAAGCACAGCTTGCAAAGTAGAGAGTGACAGCGACCTGTGTGAGAGGAACTGGGCAGGAAGTCTTCACAATAGAGCAATGGGAAGTGTTTATCAGAAATGATGGTAATGTTTTGTGTATAGTAGTGCTTATGGTAGTCTTCATGGTAATATGTATGAAGTGAATGTAGTTGTTTAGCATGTTTGCTCTAACCTAAGGTATTTTTATGATTATATGTTCAGTGTGTATGATTAAGTGAATGGAAACGCTAATGAAAATACATACGAGAGCACCTATGAGTGTATGCTAATATGTATGGCTGTCTCTATGGTAGCATTCAGTTAGTTGTGCTTGAGGGAGTTGCTTGCTTCAGCTCTTTAGTCTTGCCTCTAAATCATCAACTGACTGGCATACAAGTTTCAAAACCTGATGGGCTCTGTTATATCTACATTTATATATTTACATAGGTAACTATCATTATAATAATTATTATTATTATTATTATTATTATTATTATTATTATTATTATTATTTAATGTTGCGTATGCAGTCTGCCTCTACCACGATTAGCTTTGCCCATTCCATTTATTCACTACTCTGATAACTAAAATAATATATATAATCTTTAAGTTCCTTATTCCGTAATGTAGCTTTTACCTGTGTCACCTTCTTCGTGTGCCACCCACTCTAGTGTGTTCTCGTCTTCCCTGTCTATTTCCTAGATTATTTTGTATGTAGTGATCATGTTTACCCTGTTTGTTCTCTGTTCTAGTGACGTGAGGTTAAATCCATTTAGCCTTAGTTCATAATTCATGCCTTTGAGCTCTGCGATATTAACTATCAGGTTTCATATTTATCAACGTTCAGGAGAGTTCGCTCCCAGATGGTACTTTATGTCCGGCTTTCTGTGGTCAGTAAACAGCTTCGTTAATTTCCCACTTGGACAATTGTTTCACTTTGTTCCCGTCTGTCTATAGCATGCTAAGGCTGCTGTGACCTCGCCCCTATCTGTTTTATGTTGCTTAGGTACTCCTTTATCCGCTCCATGGTCTTCCGGGACTGCAGGAGGCCTACTACTATCCGCTCGATCGCATTCCCTGTTACTCCTGTCTTGATGTATGTGGGGTCCTGTGTCATAGGTATAGTGACAGCCCAAGAATATGCAGTCAGCCCATCCTTTTTCATCTTGTCTGATCTTTGTCTCGCGTCCATAGACTTCTATCAAATATGTAAGACAAGATTTGCCATTTTTGAGCCCCATGCTAGTTTTGCAATATAGGTGTCTTCTTCAATTCTTCTACAACCCTTTTATATCAGTCATTTCCATTTACTTTGTTTGATAAATAAGTATAGGAATACTGATCTGTAATTTATTAAAAACCTCTTTTTTTTCCTGATCCTCCCTTTTGTATATTTTGCACTGCATTGGTTGTCTTTTTGAGATATATACAAGAGTTGTTACATTCTTGTACAGCCACTAGTACGCGTAGCGTTTCGGGCAAGTCCCTGGAATACGATCCCCGCCGCGAAGAATCGTTTTTTCATCCAAGTACACATTTTACTGTTGCGTTAAACAGAGGCTACAGTTAAGGAATTGCGCCCAGTAAATCCTCCCCGGCCAGAATACGAACCCATGACATAGCGCTCGCGGAACGCCAGGCGAGTGTCTTACCACTACACCACGGAGACTTTTAACTTTCTGGTAGTTCTCTTGCTCCCAGTAACGTTATAACAACTAGAAGGGGTACCTGACTGTGCTGGGGGTCTCTTCCCCATCTTTCCCTCTTCCTGCTCTTTTCTCCTTTTCCCTCATCCTCCATACTTTTTGTCGCCCTCTTCCCTCCCTCATTCTATTATCTATACCCATTAATAGCACAAAACGTGGACGTTTTCCTGTAACAGTACATTTTGTGTACATTCCATCCATAGCAGGTATATGAACTGTTGTTTTAAAGGGGTGACAGGTTGGTTAAATAAGCCTACGTCAGAGAGAATTGTTCAGCTAATCACGATACTGCCATGGTGTAAATATGACAGGATAAGCTCATTAATTGACGTTTTCTTTGGTTCCATGTTATAGAAAATGCTGTCATGACATTTTGTTCGTATTAACTGGGTAAAATTGTCATTTTTTTGTGTGTACTGTTTAGTACAGGTACTATGATGTATAGTCTCTGTACTGTACATTATAGCTGTCACGTAGCCTGTACTGTACATTATAGCTGTCACGTAGACTGTACTGTACATTATAGGTGTCACGTAGAATGTACTTTACATTAAGTGTCATGTAGAATATTACGCATTAAGTATCTCATAGACTGTATTATACATTGTCACGTATACTGTATTATACATTGTCACGTATACTGTATTATACATTGTCACGTATACTGTATTATACATTGTCACGTATACTGTATTATACATTGTCACGTATACTGTATTATACATTGTCACGTATACTGTATTATACATTGTCACGTATACTGTATTATACATTGTCACGTATACTGTATTATACATTGTCACGTATACTGTATTATACATTGTCACGTATACTGTATTATACATTGTCACGTATACTGTATTATACATTGTCACGTATACTGTATTATACATTGTCACGTAGACTGTACTATGCATTGTCACGTAGACTATTATTCATTATGTGTCACGTAGACTGTATTATTCATTAAGTTTCGAGTAGACTGTATTATTCATTAAGTGTCATGTAGACTGTATTACTCATTGTCATGTAAATTGTATTACTCATTGTGTCGAGAAGACTGTGCTATGCATTAGGTGTCATGTATTCGACGGACCGAAACGTCGTCGCTTCTCCATCTTCTGATGTGTGGTTTGGTCATCAAAACATGTCCAGCTTCATTAAGTAGCTTACAAATGTAGCAAAGGTTCCGATAACAAACATTGTTATTTGCTTAGCTAGACGTACTAGAGAGTTCAGTTCCTGAACCGATTATGTGCCTCTGTAATCCTTTACACCACCGCCCACGGGATGGGTATGGGGTGCATAATAAAGAAAGAAATTGAATTGGTTTTGATAACCAGAATTCAACAAGGGAAAATTTTGTATATACAGAACCTTGCAGCGATTGTCCAGACACTATGTGTCCTTGTTTAACATACCTTTCCATAACGCTAAATATTGAATAACTCTCAACTCTTAAAATAAATCTATCGACACAAATTGTTTTACGGGCTCACCATAGCCCGTGTTACTTGGAACTTTTTGTTCCAGGTAGCGAATCTTTAACAACAACAAATTGTAATTTCCTGCTGTTGATCTTGCTAAACACATGAGAGGATCGTGAAAAGTAGTGTGGACAGTCAATTTATTTAGACGTGTAAATTTGGTACATATTTTGTCAAAACCAGCATGACTTCTTGAGCATATGATATAAAAAACAGAAATATTCGTGGCTACTGAAATAGCCTCATAAATGCGATATATTATAAATGAGATATTACGTGTTCATAATCACGTTTCATTATTAGTTTACTATAATTGAAATATTAACAAAATACTGAGTACATTATAGTCAAAGGTTAAGCACAAGAGCTCATGGCTAGGGGTAGTAGCCTCCACCTGATCCAGAAGACCCCTTGCCGCCGCCGCCGCCACCAAACTGGGCCTGACCTTCGTAGGTGACGACGGGGTGGTAGCCGGAGTCGTCAGCGGTGTACTCCACCAGCTGGCGGCGGGTATCCGGCAGCTGTACGTAGTAACTGTGGGAGTAATATAACCCCAGATTTAGTGTTTCAACGACTGCATTCTGGAGGAATATAATTATATATACAATACTGATCGTATAAACGCTGAAAGCCAGCATTGTAAGCAGGTATGGACAAATGATGTTAAATTCACTCTGAAGTTCTCTGAAACTGACCTGCAATTTCATATCTGTGATACTCTTACGATATTGGTTGTTGTGTCATCTCACCTGCCCTGGACGTTGCCATTGGTTGCTTGTTCCCTGTGGCCGTAGAAGTTGCCTGAGGCAGCGTCGTCAACGTCCCACTGGAAGTTGTAGTTGGCTGGGGCAGAGGAGTACTGGCCCCCGGACCCGCCAGTCCCTGGGACTCCATATCCCTGAGGGGC